AGTAGTAGTCGTAGTAGTAGTAGTAGCAGCAGTAGTAGTAGTAGTAGCAGCAGTAGTAGCAGTAGCAGTAGTAGCAGTAGTAGTCGCAGTAGTGGTGGTAGTAGTAGTAGTAGTACTAGTAGTAGTCGTAGTAGTACTAGTAGTAGTAGTAGTAGTAGTAGTAGAAGTAGAAGTAGTAGCAGTGGTAGTAGTGGTGGTGATACTTTTGTTTGTACTATCATTCGTAATGCTAACTCACTATATTGCCAGAGAACACATTCATCGTAGATTCCGTCAGGAGTGAAGCGGGACTCCGTACATGACTAGTAGGCTTTGTGAAGTTTAACATTGAATGATAGGAACCTTGCGTCCAATCCTAAGCAAGCAACTAGCATGACGGGTGCAGAGCTTCTATCGCAGCCATTGAAACCCATGGAATGCTGCCAAGACTCTGCAGCTGTGGTCAGCTCTCCGTCCAAAGCACGCGTTCAAGGCTTGCAAAGTATGCTACACGAGGTGGGCTTAATCAAGATTTGTACGAGGATCTCGGGATACCAAACCTGCGAGGGGCTGCGATGGGGCCTGGATGGCATGGAACACAGGCTGTGGTCGCATCAGCAATGTTGGCATTGGCATGTGCCCTAGGCTGCACCTGCGTACGTCCAACGACAGCTGTTGTGTCTTCGAAACTCGAGTTGCCACCACCCCGCGAAACAACCTCATGCGAGAAACACGAACAACAGTCTCACAGAAAGCGTGTTCACACACACACACACATTGACACACAAAGGCACATATGGGTACAAAATGATACATACATATACATACTTAGACGACAGCATACATGAACCCAGAGCCCATGCCTGTGTCCATCCGCCGGTACATAAATCTACATCCCGAACCACTGACACGTCCATTGGTCCATACATTCATCCGCCCACACGAGAATGTACGAGATTTGATCCCACCATACATACTGTGCGTTCGATCACATGCACACCATTCGAGAGCTCCCTTACAAACACCCCTTTGCCTGTGTTCGCTCTTTTTTACTGGTGCAACAACTATGCACTCCGACGATAGACGATAGACCCCAAGCCAAGCACAAAGGGCCACTACGACGCTCTGGGGACCTGCCAGGATTCGCATCCGAGTTTGAGAAGCCTGTATCCGGCTTGTTGAAAGGCTGTTGGCTAGCATGGATATCGCACACTCTGTGGGCGTGTAGTTTGCAAGGCAGCATGGAGGGCCTGAGCCCACCGGAGGTGAACTTGCAACCTCTCAAACTCGGCCCTCCCGGCAAACCATCTTCAAGCCACCAGGGGATCTGTGTCCGAAGCGCGGCCAAGTGGGCGCAGGGCTTCCATCCAGGTCGGGGGCCTCTACTGGAATCGTCGAACCAAAGTGCAGCTAGTGCAAGAAGGTGCTGACTTCTCTGGCCATTGCATGCCCTCGCCCACCACCGTGCTAAACTGTGCACTCTTTGTGCCCTCGTGGGCAATGCCAGCATCGGAACATGAATTCGAAGAAATTGATCCGGCTGTGCCTTCAGGCACTCGAGATCCAACCATTAGGTCCATGCTTCATCCCGGATGAACTTGCATACTTTGCCTACTACTTTGCATGCTTACTCTACGACTATACATGAGTACAAACCATTATGCTCTCTCTCGCCCTCTCTCGCTGAGAGTCTCCACACAAACATCATCTCACAGCTTTGGTCTTTGCGGAGGATCTGTCCAGCGGGCTGGCCTCGCACTCAAAGAAACAGCTACGAAGACCAGCAAAAGATCGCGTCTCTTAGGAACCGTGTTTAGATTCGGGTTGAGGATCCATGCTCGACACTGACCACGTAACTTAGGATCCTTGCTGTGATCCCTATGAACTTAGGAGGGGTCATTAATCAGCGGTCTGCATGACATGGAGATTTTTGGGATTCGGATTCTCCTGGCAAAATTCGGTCCCATTCTCCTTGGAAAATCGGATGATGCAAGCCTTGGAGCCTTACCTCCCACACACCCCTGAAGATGTAAAGATCCGTGTCCGTGTTGGGTAGCATCAGTAACATCTGCTTGCCTGAACTCCGCCCCTCCCCTCAAGAATCTCTAGAGATACACTTCACAGAGTTTCATCAGGCTCGCAAAGGGACGCTTACAGCATCTTTTCTACAACCCCTTACGATAACCCTTAGCATAACCCATGCATCAATTATCTCTCAGAGTACCCCTTATAGCAACCCTTACAGTAACCCTGAATTGTAGCAGCATCTCCCAGAGTAATCCTTACGGTAACCTCTCCTCGAAGCAGATGAAGAGCACATGCTGGGTGCCCTCGAGCCGCGCGAAGCTGAGAACCTGACAGGTTCAAGGCTGCATCCAGGTGTGTGTGTGTGTGCATATATATATATACATATATACACACACACAATAGATTTGCTTTTATAGTAAACGTATATATACACGTTGATAGATGTGTGTGTGTGTGTATGTATGTATATATATATAGATAGTCTAACGTATGCAGGCTATTCTTGTATGTACATATACATCTATATTCTATATGTATATACCCACACACACACATATATATATATATGTATATATATACATATATATATATATGTATACATCTATATGTGTACACATACGTACATACATACATACATACAGACATACATACGTGCGTACATACGTGCGTACATACATACATACATACATACATACATTCATACATACATACAAGTGTATTCTCACGCAAACGCTTCAGTCACAACCACAAACCGAAACGAACCGAGCCTTGCTTTTTGGCGAAAACTAGGATTCAAGTTGCACAAGCCACAGCTTCCCATAAGCATGGCTCCGTGGCATGAGGCGTTGGCTCAACAACTCAAAATCTGCAACAAATACTGGAGTCTGCGCCTGTGCTGCGCAAGCACCACAACAGAAGGTTGGCAAATAAGGCATCGGGGGCTTGTGTTGTACAAGCACCCCTTGTGCACTCAAAAAGTTGTCTGTCGGACCTCATTGGGTAACCAGAGCCACCCTCGCCGCCTGCACTCCCCTGAAGCCCTCCGCATGCCGCTTGGCCTTCAGCTCGTTCCTTAACATCCAGTTTGGTCTTACAAGGCAAAGGTTGCTGCTTGAGAACATGGTGAGAGTATGTCAGAGGGGGGTTTCGCAAAAAGAATGCAGACTGCCCAAGTCGCTCTTGGCACGCTAGCTTCGTAGCATGGTTTTGCTTGTGCCACTGCTTGGGCAACCACTTGACCGCTGCTTTGGTCGAGTCGATCACCATCAGCAGGTTGAACAGGGTCATCAGAACGAAGCCCACTAGCCCAAGGCAGAGGAACGGCAGGTCGCCTCGTCCGTGGAACACCATCATCGCAGAGAGCGCTTGGGACACCCATATATACCCGCGCACGAGCCACATCGTCAAGAGCTGAACCAGCACGATGGCCTCGCACGGACAAGCACTACAGTAGTTGCTCTAGTCAACGCGAGATGGCACGACCCGTAGATGCAGCATCGATTTACAGCTAGGCTTGCAGGATATCCTAAAGATCGAGCTAGTGTGAAGCTTTTTGACAGCCACACTCGCACAAACATACTGCTGCGCTTCAATTCAAGGTTTGTTTGCCTTGCGAGGTGCTGGAAACTTCGAGTTCAAACAGAGCCCTTGCTTTGGTGGTTGCTTGCGGCCTTATACCGCAAGAAGTCCCGCGGAGAGCTCTGTGTGTCTAGGCTGAACTTGTAGCAGCTCAGCAGGTAGCAAATGCCACCGGCAACGAGCAGCGACTACATTAATACATGCAGTGCTCTCAGGGTAGGGTAGTAGAGGATCATCGGCAGCGTCAGCATGATGGAGAGCATATGATGCAAGCAAACCATGACAATGAAGTATTTCCTCGGCAGCTGGACACCCAAGCCTTTGAAGCTGACTGGGAAAAATGCTCTCAGAGTGATTTGCACGCTGTCGTAGGTCGAGTATGCCAGATCTCCCACGGCACCAGCGTAGAACAGGAACTGTCCCACAGAACCAGCCGAGTCCCAGCCCAAAACAACCACTGGAGTTAGGGCCAGGCTCATCACGAGATGATGGGAGCAAATGGCAATCACAAAGCAGTAGCAGTCAACTATGACCGTTTCATCCGCAGTGGTTGACTTGCTGTAGCCGAAGTTGTGCATCATGTTGCGCTGCAGTGGGATCATTCGCGAACGCCATGGCTGCCTGTCAACCCAGCTGATCAACTGCTGCTTGACAAGCTCGACCAAGCCTGTCTTGTCAATTTCTCAGAAACCTTGAGTTCCACTACCGGCTGCCTAGCAACCACCACTTCTCCGAACGTGGTATGTTATCATCTCTCGGTACATTTTCCATTATTCGAAAACGTAATGTATTCTATGCACGATTACTTTGGTTGCAACGGAAAAAAACTTCCCCAAGTTCGATCTAGGCACAACCGGTTATCACCGCCAGGCTCACAACAACAGCGATCACGAGCTTCCAGTGCTGGAGCATGATCGTGTCCATGGCTGACATGGGTCTCAAACTTGGCAGGGCTATTCCAACCTACAAAAATGCGCTGACAGGAAGCCAACTGCATCACAAACAAATCCATACCTGCCAGGTCGTGCAGACAGCCTTTTTTGACACGTCTCTATGAAGGCATCAGTGCCTTTTGCAAGGAAACGGACCCGTTTAGAACAGAACAGTTGCAAGCATTGAACCTTAGAGTAAATGCTGCCAAACCTCACCAGGCTCTGGCTGATGTTGTGCTGCTCCTCCCCCTCCTCTACTGAACCCCAAACCCTGAACCCCTATACAAGACTACAGAGGGTGCTCACTGCGACACCAGATCTGACCACCAATGCTTCTCCCAGACCTGCACTGAGCTAAGCATTCTAGTCTAGTCTAGTATGAAAGCTCTGACAAAACCTCTTACAACAGAGTACCTCTGGGATAAGTCGTTTGGAAACAGGACGTGGAGTCACTGTACAGTAACGTGGACGTCCGTTTAAAGGGGTTATCAACCGGGAGTGTCTACTCGCAGCCTTTGCAAACCCCGGATATAGCCCTGAAAAAAACCCAACATAAAACAAATAAGCCACATAAGTATGAACCCTCAGAACCCTCTTAGAACCCTTGCAAAACTCCCTAACCCTACACCCGGTACCCACGAAGAATTCTTATCGCGAATTCCGGGGCCCGTCCTTCCCCCCCTGCCCCAAGCGAGGGGAGCTGCGCGCCTGCTTCGGCCGAAGCTCCCGGGATTCGTTTCGGCCCAAAGCCTCGCCTTCCTTCAGCTTTGGCGGTGAGGGCTTTAGGACTTGGGGGTTGAGGGGATTTGGGGCGTGTATTAAGGTATATATAACTTGAGCATTTGGGGTTGTGGGAGCTTGAGGGTGTGGAGTTGAAGGTTCGTTTGGGTCTTGGGTGGGTTTCGGGCTCTCTTCTATGACTATCGTAAAGAGAGGCCCCATTGACACATGTCTTGGATTCGTCAGTCTGCGAGCCGAGGAAGGGACGACGTAGACCGGGTTTGAGCTGATGTTCGTTGCCAGCAACGCATCCTCCTGAACCTTACGAGGCATTTCCAGGGCATGCAAACAAAAACAGCTCCGAGTATATGATAGCCTACTATAGCATACTATAGTAGAATATACCAGTATATAGTGTGCTATAGCAACAGGCAGTATATTCGAAGAGAACACTTCTGATTGCAGCAACAGCCCTCCCGGCCTCCAACTGTACGTGGGCTCGCGAGATGAAGCTCATGCAGGCCGTCGACTGACGCAAGCAGCCCTAAACCCTAAACCCTAAACTGGCCCTAAACCCTAAACCCTAAACCGCAAACCCCAAACCATAAATAAACCCTAAACCCCAAACCCTAAACCGTTTAGGGCTCTTCTTGTTGCTTTTGACGCCTTGCTGCAGTCAGGATGCCGAGTCGGCAGAGCCAGGGTTGAGGCTTTAGGGTCCAGGGTCTGGAGCAGTGGGGCCTTGGAGAAAAATCATGGGGACTAAAGGGGTCTATCAAATTGCAGCTGAATAGAATAGTATTGAGCAAAATTCAGGAATATTATATATTATATATTATACATATCTATCTATCTATCTATCTATCTATCTAACTTCATTCAAGCAGGGTCTTGGGTACATTATCCTATGATATCAAAAAAAACGATGTCGCGGCTGAGGGGGCTGGGTCGCAGCCGAGCCGGTGGCTTGGTTCGGGGGGGTCCCCTGCAAGCTGCTTTTTTCGCTTGGCAAGTCACGAGGTTCCACTTTTGCAGAAGGTCACTTCGTGGCAAAAGGCTTACTAGACGACGAAAAAGGCTCTCAATAGCATGATAGAGCATAGTAAAGCATACTTTATGATAATGTAGTAGAATTTAAACAAACATTTATATAGCATAATATAGTAGAGTGGAGTATAGTATAGCGCAGTACAGTATAGTACAGTATAAAAGAGTCCGACTGCTCTATGCGAGTTGGCAGGTCTTTGCTCGCGCCAGGCGGCGCTCGCTGCGCCGGAAGCCGGGCGTCCGCGTCAGGACCTCCTGAAAGCGATCCTCGTAAGGCTGGTACGCAGCCACTGCTGCCTCATCCGAAGTGAGTAGGAATTGGGATGAACATCGGGAAGGCATTTGAGTTCCACTACCCCAACGGATGACAGGCAGCCTGGAGAGTGCCTTCACCTCTGTGAAGTGGACGTTGAGGTTCGTCCCGGTGTAGAATGGTTTCCCCATTGCCGCATCTCCCAGAATCAAAAAAGGCGCCCTTTTTCCCGTGGGCCCCGGTGCCGGTGCGGCACAGACCGCATGGGTCGACGACCAGAAAGATGCATCCACCCAGCGCACCGTGGTCTCTGCCGGATTCAGGAGCTTCTCCTGCAGAGACGCTGCTGCGGCCAGGATCTGAGGGATCCAACTCGGCCCGTCAGGAGAAAAGCCAAGGCGAGAGAGCTCGTTTTCCAGCGCTGCCAGGATGCTTTCGCAGGGTTTTGGCTTCCCTCGGCCAAGCTTCTCTTTCGCAGCCTTCAGCTCCTCCGGAAGGCCCATGAACCACAGCCAGCACAGAGGCTTCGGGGGAGTTGTCGCTGCATCCTGCGCCACGCGGAGGACGATTCGATAGGACAGGGAGGATGGGCTGCATTGCTCGCCACAGGCACCAGTGGCAGCGCCAGCGCTTCGTGCACAGAAGGTGAGATCCACAGCCGCCAGCTGCTCCAACTCTTGGATCTTCACACTGGCGGCTGACTTTCCTGGCGTGAAGTTTCGCATCTCAAAGACCAACACCTCTTCACTCTCGCCCACATGAAGATCGCAGGACATCTCAGCACGAGTGGCGTCGTCCAGCGATCGCCGACCTCCTGCCCATAAGATCAAGTCCCAATCTGCTTCGGCGGCTATCTCCTCTGGGCTTGTCTTGCTACCAAACCGAATACTGTTCGAACCTCCCAGTCGCCGCCATTGGTCCAGGAGGATCGACTCGATCTCTGCCAGAGCCATGCCCGACTCGAATCGCTTGGACTTCGTGTGCTTGTTCAGCAGTGCAACCTGGCTTTCAACTTCGTCTGCTCTCGACTGAGATGCGCTCTAGTCACAATGCACTATGATGTGGGGCCCTGGCAACTTGATGTGACCTAAGACCATGCACCCTTTTCGAGTGTCAGCATTGTCTGTCGTACTGTGTCGAGAGGAATTCTTCACGTGCCTATCTCAATGGTTTGGACCCGGTTCGCTTGTTTATCTTGTTTTGCGCGAGCGAGAATCGCAGCTGGACCTGCCATCTACACAGTGCTATAGATTCTAGATCCTAGCTCACTTCAGCAATCCAAACCAAGCAGTCTCAACTGATTCGGGCAAGCAGCCGTGTGGGCATCCAGTGTGATGCGTACATTCCGGCGGGAACAGTGGTCTTCTTCTGCCCTCTGCTCGAAAATGACAATTTCCGGAGCATCCTTGCTGCGGATGAAGCCCGAGGCCTTTGCAGCTTTGGCTGCGACGGCTCCGTTGCCTGCAGCTGGTCGCTGAACACGGCGTGCATGCCGCAGCATGATCAAGTTTGCTGCCCAGAGCCCCACAGGGCCAGCACCTGCGATGGCGATTCGCCTGCGCCGTGTCGCCTTTCCTGCGGCTTTCCGACCACCCTTTTCTACTTCTGAAACACCGGTGCCCACCAGCTCGCAAGAATCTGTCGCAACCGGAGGGACGTCCTCGACGTCCTTCGCTACCCGTGCGGCTGTTGCGCGCCTGAAGGCCTCGAGGTTCACTGAATAGCGGCACTGGCCCAGGGCCTTCTGTCGCCGCTCCTCCTGCTTAGCCTGTCTTCGAGCAGCGAGCTTCTCCTGCACCCTCTTTTGTGCACGGGCGACCGGGTCTTCTAGGAGTGAGCTCGTGGCCGCTCTGCGCAGGGTCCCCCCACGAGGTCTCCGCTGGAGGAGCCCTTGCGAGCGAATAGCCGCACCCTGCGGTTCCAGCTCCCTCTCTTGGTCCTCACATCCGTCGAACTCTTCGCCACTTAGCTCCTCGAGGGGTGCAGTGTCGCTGCTAGCATCGGCACTCTCTGCCTCACTGTCGGAAACCACAATGTCGGAGTCGACTTCTTCCGACTGAGCAACGGTCTCCGAAGGTTCTGAAACGACGCACATCTCTAGCATTCCACTGTGCACCGATTTGCTGTGGCCATGCCTTAAGCATCCACGAACGAAGCCGCCAGCAACTTCATCATGGAAGTCGGCAGCGGAAGCTATATCGAATTCTCGGGCGCAAAATCGCAGCAGTCGAAGGACAGTCAAGCAGCCGGCTTGCTTCGCAAAATTCTTCCTGCTCTCTTCCGAGATCGTGAATGCCAGGGGTGAAGAACGAACGCATACATATGCAGTCGTATGCATCATAGGAAGTGTGAAGGATTTCTGATTCCAGGTCTTGTAGCTGTAGCTTTGATATTTTTCTGTGCGCAGGGGACCCTTTGGTTCCTTTCGCGGTTCGAGGCCTTGGCCAGAAGCGTTTCCAGCTCCTTTGCCTGGTGCTGCCGACCTGCGCGAAGAAAATGACAAATCATGACAAAAGCCCGCTCTTCCCAATGTGATGACCGAGGGATTCCTTGATGGTTCTTGTTCTAAGAAGAGTCGTCGAGCCGAGAAGGGAACTTTTGCTGGGAGTTTTGTAGCCTTCGAAGGTTGAAAAAAAACACAAGCTGCCTATGACCAAAGGCTCGTCCTCATCGACGATAAACTCCCGGACCTAGGATCAGCACAACATGTCAGGCGGCGCTGTTGCAGGGATGATCCTTCATGCGATGCGGGGCCTGGCTCTTTGCTGATGGATGCCCGGGTGTGCTACGCCACCCCGTATGTGCAGGAGAGGGTGCGGAATCCACAGGCCAGGATCGCTATTGTGCGGAAACAGCCAACCCTTCAAAATTTCACAGCACAGAGAGCAGAGTCTATTTACTTGCCTCTTCAATGACATGCGGAATCCGAGCTCCCGAAAGCAACAGAACCGGGTGATTGAGGCGGCAGGCGCTGGGAGAGAGGTTCGACAGCTCATCGCCTTGGCCCCAGGCACTGCATGACCCAGACTTCTGTATGAAGGACCCAGGGTAAGCCACAGAAAGAGTAGGTCTTCCCTGGAATCGATAGAAAAGTTCATATACATTATATACGTATGTGTAAATCATTCATACAAATAAGCAAAGAAAGTACATAATTACATGTGTGTACATATATATATATGAACTAACACCACTTTGCTACGATGATTGTCATTGTGGGAGTAGTCAGAATCAAAGTACAGGAATCGCTATCAGTACGACAAATGTCACTATTACCATGGTGTCATCATTGCCGTTGTTTGTGCCTCTGCTGAAGCTGATCCTATCAAACCTTGTTGCCCTGGCTCCTAAGTTTGCAACACCGTAAAGCAAACCACGAAGCTTGTAATGTGGACACAGCATGATTTCTGCCGGCTCTCCCATCGTTCCAGATATGGGATTGGGGATTACGATGCTCGGACTTTGTCGCTTCTCTGCTTGCTAACCCTCAAAACTCAAGCGGCATCAGCCACCCAGCAACACCTTACCCCTATCCCCTAATTCGTCTCCCCACAACCTACGTCCGAACCTCTTACTCCTAGCCCCTGTGTCCTAATGTCCTAATGCCACAAAACCATCATTCCGATCCTCTTATTCCTATCCCTAAACCCCTGCCCCTGCTTCCTACGTACCCCTTAGCCCCTAAGCCCCAATTAAAAGTCCCAATGCCACCCTTACGGCCTCAACCCCAAACCTCATCTTTAAAACCTGAAACCCTAAACCCTCATCCTTGTGTCCTCAGGTCATACACTGATGTCAAGGGGCTAAGTCCCTCCACAAAGGAGCAGCGCAAGATCCAGGGGCAGCTTCCCACTCGCTCCTTTCGCATTTTGAAGGGCTTTTGCTAAAGCTAGAAATTCAATCCTTGGAGTTTAGGACTTACGTTACTTCTGGTTTCTGGAGGATTTAGAGCCCTTTTTCCTTTCTGCACAGCCATGCAGCTGCTTTCAACCCTATGCTTCGGGGTTTAAGTTGGATCATAGGGATCACGTCTTGGATTTAGGGCCTGAGATTCGAGGCTTGGGATGTGGATGCTGATTGATGCGCTCTGCCTCTCGGGCCCTTCTTCTTTGGTCTTGACAGAAAAGCTGTTTCTAAGTCACGGCAAGTTACAAGCCATGGTTTGTAGATTCGGTTCGGGCCAAAGGGCTCGGAGCTTATCGGGCTGGTGGCCGTTGGAGTAACCATCCATTGTTAGTCTTCAACTTGCAACCGACTCACTCAATTTGACGAGTCTTGCAGTCTTGCCACGTTAATCGTCTGCTTTAACAACATAACCATACCTTATAATATATCCCCGCAGGCCCGACACCCACGCTAGCTCCTCACCGAAGTCCAGGACCGCTGTGGGCGCTACGGCCGCCCCGAAACTTTCCACCGTCGCTGCCCGGCTGAAGCGAAGGCGAAGGAATAAAGACAGCCTCGGAAGGGAATATTGATGTTAGTGATAGTGTAACTATTACAACATGCTATCCTATAGGGGCTTGGGATAAAACTACTTTCTTGCGAAAAATCATGACCATTACCCTTCTCACAAAACACAAATTTATTCCACAACCTAAATTCCTCAACCTTGAACCAGTAAACATTGAGATACCTTTAGAACCCACCGAAGTGTGTCTTTGAGCCTGGCGTTCATGAAAAGCTTCGCATATACGGGACCTCAAGAAAGCTGAAGTTGCCCTACATAGTCGACTCAAGCACGGTGGAGGGTTAGGGTTAGGGTTAAACCCACAACCCTAAACCCCGAAACCCGAAAGCCAAAAAAACCGGCAACCCTGAACCCCTAAACACAGCCCCTGAAGCCCTAAAAACCCTAAACCCCCCCAAGACACCCTCCATTGTGGCTGCTTCTGAGGGCCAAGCTCCCCAGTCTGCGAATACGGGAAGCCCACCTGTTGCAGGTTTCCAGACCGGAAAACCCGGACCTCGAACCGTAGTAGAGGGGTTACCGTAATTTTTTTGATAATTCTTAGGGCCGTCGCCTAAATTTTGCAGACCTCTAGCGCCCTTTGCACAAGCCCCTAAGATCCAATCTCCGTAAACCTGTAAAACTACACTACGGATGCCAAACCTGAAGCCCCCTTCGTCACGCAACAAAAGAATCTCAAAGCTCCCCGAAGCCCAGAAGCGCTTTTAGTCTAAGGGGATACACTCTCTCTTGAAGAGAAGATCCCAAAGTTCGAACACCCTTAGATGCCATTGAATTCTTGATTATGGCTTGTTTTTAAAAAAAGGTAGGGTTGAAGTCTAGGGCTTAAGGCTTAGTGTAGATATAGGGGGCCTTAAGGAACAGTATTCCTTTCCTTTGATACGATGTTAGTATGATGTACTGTACACCCAAGCCTTTATCGGAATATTGGGGTCACTTCTTTTTTCATTATCATAACTGTTATTGTGATCATTATGAGCGGTGTTATCATTATCAATATTCGTCTTCTTGTGAATATTATTGTTATTTCTGCTGCTGCTGCTGCTACTACCAC